TGTTGACTGGATCCCCACTCCCAACTTGCGTTCTTTTTAGTCAGATTGGTCAGCGGTCAAGAGATTTTGGAGAACTTGTCAATGAATCGGCGAAACCATGAAGCGGTTTGGAGAAATGTCAGCAGTTGTTTCACATTGATTGGTTCAGCCATATTCTTTATGGCTTCTACCTTGGATGGATCGGATTTTAAAACGTCAGGCATGATCAGGTGACCAAGATATTTTACAGAAGTGCAACCAAAAGTACATTTGTTTCTGTTAAGTTGAAGTGCTTTTCAAAACTAAAAGATAGGACTATTAGATCGTCAAGGTAGACAAGAAGGTTTATATCTTGAAGGCCAGACTTGAAACGATCCATTAGTCGCATAAATGTAGCGGGACTACCCTTCAGGCTAAAGGGCATTCGATTATATCGAAACATAGCAAATGGTGTTACAAAAGCCATTTTGTCCCTGTCACAAGGACGAACCGTGATCTGATGGTAGCCAGATTTCAGATCCAAAGTTGATATGTACTCTGACTTCTTCGTCAAGTGTAAGAGGTCGTCGATACGTGGAAGCGGATAATTCTGATCTCTAGTTACTGCATTTAATCGACGATAGTCGACACAGAGACGGGTACTTCCGTCTTTCTTAGGTACAAGGACAACTGGGGCAGCATACGGAGAATCACATTCTTCTATAGTGCCATCATTTAATAATTTGTCAAGCTCCTTGCGTAATATTTCCTTTTTTGGTTCGGAAAGTTGATAGGCTGGCATAAATATTGGTACATCATCTGTCAGGAAAATGCAATATTCCGCAAACGGAGTAGCTTCGGAACCTGATTGGAATACATCCTTATATTTCTGTAAAAATGTATTCGTTTCAAGTATTTCTGAATTTGTCAGAGAGGAACCTTCATTTTCTCTTAAGGAAACCATATTGATTATATTATCAGATTGATAGGAACGGTTTTCTTCCAGGAAAGGATAAGAGACAGTAAGATAATCACCAAAACGCCAGCAATTATTTGGCATATCTACAACAATATTCGCTTGTTGTAAGAAGTCAACTCTTAGCAACATTCGGCTATCACTTTGTGAAGTTTGCTGATGATCAGGAACAGCAATAAGTTGCGTTGGAATAGACTTATGTTTGATGATTATTATTAAATTGAAGACCTGTGCCATTACTGTCCTTTCAATGCCATCTGCCAAAGTTATCCGAAAAGACTTGGATTCATAAGGTATATTCTTCTGTAAAAGTAATAGTGCAAGTTGTGTACTAGCGATGCTTGTTCTAGCTCCTGTGTCCAGAATTGCAGAACCATGCAAACCCATAATTTCTATAGGGCCTATTTCTTTATCTGAAATACCATAGTATCGAAAGTCAGAAGTTTCTGGTGTTTCATTTTCCATACTTTTGCAAACTGGACAGTTACTTCGTACGTAACCGACTGTTCCACAAGAGAAACATGTTACTTGAGGCTTGGTAGTATTACTTGAAATGTTATCTACAGTACTGCTTGTAGACGGAGCAAATGAAGATGTTTCTGTCTTCTTTTGACTCAATTTGCGACACTCTTCTTTGATATGACCATAAGCCTTACAGTAAGCACATTGTTTCCTTTGTTTTAGTTTTTGTTGATCCGTAAAACCTTTTCCTGCAGGTTTGACTTGAGTAGAGACTGTGGTCGTTTTAATTTCTTGCAACGTAATTTCTACTTTACGTGCTTCCTTGATTAGTGCTTCAAAATTTGGTATATCATCGTATGAGATTCTTTCACGAATTTTTAGATGAAGTAATCCGTATATCATATCCACCTGGATTGATTCGGGGAGAATGGGACTACTGGGGAGATGAGACAATAAGGCTCTGCATCGGCTCACAAAAAGGTCAGTTTTCTCGTCCTCTCTTTGTTCTCTAGAGAATAACTCACGATAGACTTGATGAGCAGGTTTTGAATACCCAAATGCATGTCTTAGCGCTTTGAGTGCATCATCGAAAGTAGCTGTTGTGTTTTTAACTCCTTGTCACCAAATTGCAGCTTCGCCTTCTAAAAGCATCGGAAAACCTTTCTAAGCATTTTCATCACTAATTTGCAAACAGTCTTCATACACTATAATGGAATCTATAAATGCATGAACATCTTGTTTTCTCGTTCCGTCGAAACGATTTGTGCATTTCGAAAAATTTCCATAATTTATTGTTGGCGTGGCAATGTTAGTATTTTGGTTAAACAAAGCGATAATATTCTTCAACATTTCTGGCATCATAACTACTTGTCGAATTTCGTCAGCCATCTTGTTTACTTGCGAATTAACTTTGGAGTCAGGTAGGATACTTCTAGAATGTAAGTTCATCCTAAGCACTACAGTTAAACACACTTGTTTTAAGTTGACCTTATGCTGTAGAAAACCGATAATTTGTCCATTTACTTTCAATAGCCGGGTGTGGGGTAAGTGTATGGTGCATTAGTTCCAGAATTCACAAGAAGACACACACAAAACACACTTTGAATTTTATCACAAAAGTTGCTTCAGGTAAATGTTTCCAGTAATAAGTCGAGACAACGTTGGGCGCCACAATTGTGAGGTTCGGGTTCAGATATCATAACCAGCAATGGTTTGTCACTAACTTAAACTAGTTTTTTTTTATCTTCACACAACTTTAATGGTAATAGTAATGACAAGTACAAAGTATTTTTTATTTTACGTCAACACTGTAAAATGACCGTAGCATCGCCATCTTGTCTGTGTTGGGTATTTCTTACAAGTAATAAATGGATAAGTAAGAATGGTGCATGTCAGTGGCCATCAAGGTATACACTGTAATAGATTTCTTTGTTTTGGGCTATATGAAAAATTTTGTACACAGTGTTCCACCTACTACTTGAAATGATATGAAGGAAAGGGTTAGAGATGCACTTGCCACATTCACATCAGATATTCTAAGGAACGTGAGAATATCATTCAAGAGAATGGTTATCATTTCGATCATCAATTAAAATTTGTCTTTGTTCTAAAACTAAAATTTCTGTTAATAAATATGTTTCATGTTGTTCCTAATTAATTTAAGTCAGTTACGTACAACAAACATATTTATACAAAATTAATAACTTTATAATTATTCTGCTTATAAAATAATATTTCTTATTAGAAAACTTTCTTGAATATTGTCGTGATTGACCTTTACCAATTCAATAAAGACCTCGAGAAAGACACGTGGATGCATCTTACAAAAAAATTTGATTAAAAAACGAAACGGCACAAATATCTTCAATACCGTTAGAGATAGGTATAGGGAACCTATACATAGCTTGAAAAAGTTTTAAATTTCCTAACTTCCAATGTAAAAATATACTCGGTGTCCCATTTAAAATAACCGAGTTGCTGTTAGTAGTAGTTAAAGTTGAGAGAAGTATCCAGCAGTTTTTTGAACACCCTGTACAATACTAAATGATGACAAATATAATAATTTATAACTTCAAGGATCTAAAATACACTCTCCAACGCTGCTTCCTTAAAATTATTTTTTTATTGCTAATATTAAATTTCTACGCTAAACCTGCATTTTCACTAAAATTTAAATATCTCACAAACAATAAGTGCTAAGTATGCAGAACCTTTAATAAAGTTCACCTATTTTTTTATGGTGCTTTCAAAAATGCAGTAAAATACAGGGTGTTCCATTTAAAAATACATAACTTTGATATGGTACTCTTCCTGGACACCCGGTATATTTCAAAATATTTTTAAAATGTAGCCGTAATCAATCTACACATACCCACCTAAATAGGTTTCCGTAGCATTTGCCGTTTGGTCCCTAGCGACCGAGGCGTTTCTGGTGGCCTACCCTGTATGTTATAAAAGAAGAATATTTTTAATTAAATGTGTATTTAAATAAAGATGATTTTACAATATGGAGTATTTTTAAGATATAAAATTCAAGTTATCTGATGTAAATATTACACAGTGAAATAAATTACAAATTTCTCAAAAATGCAATTTAATGACCTTGTTTCATGGCCAAAAATTTTTTTTTTTACCTCAACACCATATAACTTCTAAGTAGTTATTCATTTGTAATGGATTTTGCAGAAACTAGCAACATCTTTGATGCCCTTTCCCCTTTTTTTTCACTTGCTGGAAATAATAATAATAATAATAAATCGCCCTGAATATTACGGAAACTATTTATGTGTAATTCAAATAATACAATTTTTTTAATTTATTAACCTCTAGAGAAAGCTCATCTAATTGTAAATCTAAATAGAGCAAAATTAATACATTTTTACATTAAATGTTATTTATTTTTCTCTTTTTTGAAAAAAATGAGAATTTAAAATTGAAGAAGTCGAGAGAAAGTCGAAGAATTTAATAGGAAGGCACAGAAATTCACAGGAAATACGAGGAATTCAAAGGAAGTCAGAGGAATTCAAAGTGAAGTCATAGGAATTCGAAGGAGTTCATGGAGGAAATTAGGGGAATTCCCTTGAATGGAGGAATTCTGGTGTACAAAATTATAAGCGCGGTTTACCCCTCTCAAAGGCCCTAATAACATTTTCTAAATTATACTTGACACCAAAAGCAATCTGATCATGTGGGACCTGGGGGTTGTTGAAGGCGCTGTATATACATAAACAAACACATATGTATTATACTAAAGTAATTGTTTTTTTATATATATTTAACATCATGGCTTTCCTCTCTACTTTAGGATATGATGCCATATTAAAAAATAAATTATTAATTTAGCAGTCTGCAAATATTAGTAACAAACTAAGACACTCGATTTTACATTGAGAAAAAAACTACTACTGAAGTTACTTCCTTTTTTACTTCTTTCCACATGTATCTGGACTACTATTAAACTAAACTAAAAGTTACTTACTTTTTTTTACCTATTTCCACATGTATCTGGATAAGTCCTGTCCCTATTCTTTGTGAAACATAAATTTAAACCTCAAATTATAGAAATAATGCATAAGTAGTCAAATCCATTGTTTTATCATTTCAGGTCACAGGGCACCAGTTACTAGAGTAATTTTCCATCCTGTATTTAGTCTCATGGTCTCGGCTAGTGAAGATGCTACATTAAAAGTGTGGGATTTCGAAACAGGTGAATACGAACGAACTTTAAAGGGTCATACAGATTCAATTCAAGATATTGCCTTTGATGCAACGGGCAAACTATTAGTTTCATGCAGTGCTGATATGAGTATAAAACTATGGGATTTTCAACAAAGTTACGACTGCATACGTACTATGCTGGGTCATGATCATAATGTATCGAGTGTATCATTTATGCCAGCAGGTGATTTTGTTATATCTTCTAGTAGGGACAAAACTATCAAAATGTGGGAGGTATCTACTGGCTACTGTGTGAAGACCTATACAGGACACAGGGATTGGGTAGGCAAATAATTATTTAAAAATTTATTTTTTATATATTAGTACTGTGTAAAGTATAATTCCCCGAATTTATCATTAGTTCATCAATTAATTTCATTCATATTCAAAATGTTGAAGGTACAAAAGTTAAGAAAAATCAGTTTAAATATTAAAAGGTACAATAGAATTACTTTATGTGAGATGTACCTAATCGTTTTTTGCCACAAAAAGGGATAGTTAGGGTTATTTTTCCATCATTTTGAATTTCAAAGCTCCAATGGCAAATTTGTTATCTGAGAACCCAAAAGTCCCCGGACTCTAAACTTCAAGTGACCTGAAATCATTATGGTATTGTTATATGGGTTTTATGTTGCCATTTTGAATTTCGTAATTTCCTATGATACATTCGTAATCAGCGAACCCAAAAACAGTCTATTAGGGATATATTCTCCCATTTTTAGAAATTATTGAAATGTTTTTTCCTAAATTTACCATGAAGAGTATATTTTGTATGTGCCATATTTGATCCGCCATATTGAATTTCTCAAAACGCCACTTTTCTTTTGAAAACCTCTTAACAGATAAACATTTTACAACCTTATATGTCTAAATTGGTCAAATCTATTTTTGTTTAGGGTGATCGGTTTGACGTGAAATATCTCATATATATTTTATTTAAGTAAAATAAAGTTAATAAATACAAATGTATTGTTTATAAAATAAATTTAAACCAATTAAAACACTTCCTCTAATAGCAGAAAACCTCAGTGCATTCTAAAAAAAATTCAGTGATTGGTTTTTATTAAATTGTACCAAACAATAGGAAAAAAGTAGTGTGCTGAATCCTGACTAGATATGAAAACATAAAATCTATAATTCATTTGTAAATACTAAACTGATGGGGAAAAACAGACCCTTGTATTTATTTAATATAAAGTGTAATAATAATATAGATGTTTTTGGCATATATTCTTGGTAGCCTGAAAACATGATTTCCAATGACATCTCTATTAGGGGGATAAAAATGCTGCAATTAATTAAAAAATTTTATAATTTGAATTAGATCTGTTGTTCCTGAACAATTCGCTTTGAAAGGAATGATACCAGAGTGAGATTTCGAAGGAATCGATTCCTATGGTGTTGGATTTACGATTCAAGAATTCCAAAACAAATGCGATTCTGTCCACTACTGATACTTGTTTTGATATCACATGATTTTGAAGTGTTTGGTTATAAATATGAATGTGAAATTTTAGAAGTCACATCATGCTGGTTAATGAACTGAACTCGAAATAGAGACGAAATTTCAGCTTAACAGTAAATTTATAATTACACACCTAGTATGCCACTTTCAGAATTGATTATAAACTTGTGGGATATTCTTGTCAAAACAAATGAAAAAAAACTATTATTTTTGCACGAAATAATAATATTAATATCTGATGTACTTAATAGAGTTGAATTAATGACTTTCCAATACCGCAACGGTGGAATCAGGATCATGAACGCATCTAAGGAATTGATTCCAATGAAGGAATTGTAATCGATGTTTGAAATCCTCGAAAGGAACAGGTTACCACAGCTCTAATTTGAATTACGCTGGGATTAATTATTCCAAATTGTCTAACTTTTACTGTACTTCCATTTATCATCGAAGCATTTTATAGGTTAGAATGGTTAGATCATCGCCTGATGGTACATTACTAGCCAGTTGTTCAAACGATCAAACAGTTAGAATTTGGGTGGTATCATCAAAAGAATGTAGAAATGAGTTGAGGGCTCATGAACATGTTGTAGAATGTATATCTTGGGCCCCTGATTCTTCAGTCAATGCTATAAATGAAGCAGCTGGTGTAGATAATAAAAAAGGAGCCCATATGGGTCCATTCCTCGCTTCAGGTTCTAGAGATAAGACAATTAGGTAAGGTGATTAGTAATCTCTGTTAATTTAATGAATAAAGTCAAAAAATTTACTTATATTAGGATATGGGATGTTGGAGCAGGTATAGCTTTATTTGTATTAACTGCGCATGACAATTGGGTTAGAGGTGTAGTCTTCCATCCAGGAGGTAAATTCTTAGTTTCAGCCAGTGATGACAAAACATTAAGAGTCTGGGATTTACGAAACAAACGCTGTATGAAAACTTTGGAAGCTCATAAACATTTTTGCACATCTTTAGGTAACTATTATTATTTATAATTCTCTATTGATTCTTTTTGACTGTCAATTATTATTATAATAATTATTTCAATTCTGTCTCTGATAGTCGTTTTGAATTTCTAAAGAGTCCCTCTACTGTATTTATTGCATTATAAAAAAAAAGATTATTTTATTAACCTCTTAAACGCCTTGATCCATTGCGAGATATTTCTTATAAATATGTAGAACAGTTCAAAGATCTACGTTGTTGTAGAGTTATTCGCCTTCAAAGGAGTTTGAAAAAGAAATTCTCTTCTACTTCTACTTCTAAGTCGTTACCGTGACAACAATGAAATTTGTGCAATTAAACTCATGGTAATGTTCATTTCCAAGTTTTAAACTGATATTCAATATGTCTGAATTATACAAGAGCAGACGAAATTATCCATTTAAATTTATATATCTTTGACAGCATTGCCAAATTTGGTATTTTTCTTTCATAGCTTGATTCCTCTCTCACTTTGCTAAAAAGAAAGTATACCTACCGTATATCAGTCGATATCTTGCACCGTTTTTGAGAAAATCTAATTTTATTAACACCTGTATTGTATTAAAAATGCGATATTTATTAACATTTTTGTAAAAATTGCTGCTATATCCATCATAGTCACTGTTTATTAACTTTGCTTATGTCGATTATACATATATGTCATAAGCATTCAAGAGGTTAATAATTTAAAAAATGATTAGTTATAGTCATAAATATTTAGGAATTAAATAGGGTCATTCACATTTTTTTTTTTGATGTATACTTTGTATTCAGTTACTAATCAGCCAAACAGCTCCAATAAATTTTTTGGTGAAAATTAACGATCATGGTTTAAATAGTTTTGTCCAAAATGCTTTATTAGGTGGTGAATTTGAAAAAAATATATTTCCAAACATATTTCGGAAAATCTTTGAGGTTTTTTCTCAATTTAACATTTGAAAATACTAATGCAGGCCCCAATCATCAGGTAACAATGTTAGGCAAGTAAGAGGTCACTGCCCTACAACAAAGTAGGGGTTCGGCAAAATTTTCAAGTTGGGGGTTGCTCGTCTCCTGGCATCTTTGTTTAGCCGTAGAGCAGAAAGAGGCCTATGTAAAGTAACCAAAAAGGAAAGGGGACAAGGAAGTATGTTAGCTATGTTATTGCTTGAAAGAAATTAAAATTTATGTAATTATTTCAATATTTATTTTTATTTTCAAATATTTCAAATATTAGAATATTAGAAAAAGATATTAAAATATCCTATGCAAATTTAATTTTTTTTCTAATGATAACGTAACCAAAGTACATACTTATTTTATAGAAACTGTTTGAAATTTGTAATATTTCAAAGAACACACCATCCATGTTATATTTCACAAATGCACTTTCATGTGTAAACTGAATTTCTCAAAAATGGTTATCTTTAATAGTTTATAAATTAATATTTTTTATTTTAAAAAATAAGGTAAAAATAAAATTAGTGATGAAATAGCAACAATGAACTCTAAAACTCCTTGTGAGACTGAAATGTATGTCTATTTTTTTTAAACTTGTATAAAGTATTGTAACGTACTTCGCTGCGGTTTCGGTTTTGGTGATGACGGTTAGCAACGTTAATTGTGGCTGCCTCCGGTATACTACCAACTCTAAACTGAATCTTAATTAGCAATTTTGAATTTTAATTTACAATATTGATTGACGTCACTGACGTCCCTGTTTGGACACCTAATTTTGTGACGACCCTCGACTACTAGTTTATCGGCAGCGGTGGTTGGCAGCCGGCGGTGATGAGTGACATCACAGGAACGTACTCCGGATTATTCGGTTTTGTCTCGGGCGCCAGTTTCCCTATCTTTTACGTGGGGGAAACTCCACGTGAAACCTACCCTCGGTTTAGAGTAAGTACTCAGGATAGCTACAGTGAAGAAAGTTTAATTCCAGGGGTCTGTTATATTTCTCTTAATTTTAATCAAAGTACAGGGTTATCCATTTCGAGCTTGGGATAGTAAAGCCCTGCCAATTGATATTTGTCAAATGTCACTATCATCCAGACTGGTATTTGTTTAGTTAAAGGTTTGTTAAAATTAATAAATTATGCTACGAAAATGGTGGATCTTCGGTGGCTGCATTTCGCGCATTACGCGGAGATTATGATTGACATAATCGTCCATCCCAGCAATCAACCACCGATACAGTGAGGAAATTCCAATAGACTAGATCGGTAACAGAACATCGTAAGACCTGTGCATCATCGTTTTGCCCGTTCAATCGAAACATAGCCGCTGTGAATGAAAGTGTTAACGATGACCCGAATCTTTCGACTTCAAGTCGAGCTCAGCATTTGGGCCTGTCATATGGCACATTGTGGCGCCATGATCATCGACTTTTTTTATCCTGAAATTGAAGATTTTAATCTGGACGATATGCGGTTTCAACAAAATAGGGCCACATGCCACACAACGCGGCCAATTATGGCTCTATTGCGCGAGAAATTCCCAGGACGCGTAATTTCGAGATTCGGCGATGTAGCTGGACCACCAAAATCCTACGATTTAACGCCTTTGGATTTCTCTTTGTGGGGCTATGCGATAGACCGTGGTCATGCGAACAGTCCCACAAGGAGGATAACCCGTTAGTTCCCTGAGTGTAGTGTTATTTTCCTTTTAAAATAAACGGGCTTATCGGTGTAGGTCACAAAAAGATAGTAAGACTTTTTACTGATCGGAATTTTATCAAGCTTGTCGGTGTTAAAATGAATACAACTGGAAATATCTACTAGATTTATTTTACATTACTAGGGCCTACGGCAATTGAAACCATCAAAAGTAAAACAGATTCTAATTACAATAATTATTATAAACAACTAAAATCAGAAATGTAAATATAATTTACAAACGGTGAGAATAAAATAAAATTGGTTAGAGCAATTATATATCACGGGATTAAAAATGCTTATTCGATTTTCCGGAGCTGTAAATAAAGATAAAATTAGAGGATAGTCAAAATATCGGTGTTCAGGACACAAAAATCGGTACGGTAGGCAAATGCAGTATTAGGCGGTTAGTTTATTTTTACAATAAACAATCTGATACTTTAAGAAACGGTATGCCAACGGTATTCGGTTTTAGTTGCGGTCGGTGAAAAGCAAGGAAAAGCAAGTTAGCAAATCAGAGTAGTAAATAATCAATAACTATGCTGATTCCAAATGGCTCTGAAACAAAGAAAAATAAATTACGGGCTACTCTAATTCTACAAATAAATATCGTCGGCGGTTTCTAGCTAATGCAACGGAAATTATGCGGAGTTAATACCAGCCAAGGAGAAAGCGAAGCAAGCAGTACACAAATGGCATAAATAAGCAAACGGTAATTATGGACAGGAATAGTTTGATTGACGGGAGGCAAAGTCTATTCGAGTGCACGTTCAGACGCGCGGCCGGTGACAGATTTCTCCTGGAAGCGGTGTTATGCACAGCCAACTCCCTGGGTCTATCCGTCGGTACGGCTGGCACTTAACGTCTTCCGCTGGCGATGTTATGTACAGTCAATCAGCAGTTTCAGTCAAGGTACCCAACAACGTTCGTCAAAACGAGGGCGATGTTATGCACAGTCAACCCGCCGCCAGACAACGCCGTTGCCGCACCACGTACTGTATACGACAGATGTCTCCTGAAAGCGGTGTTATGCACAGCCAACTTCCTGGGTCTATCCGTCACGGTTTGGCCACCACCTATCGTCTTCCACTGGCGATGTTATGCACAGTTAACCAGCGGTTTCAGTTAATGTGCCCTAGCTACGTTCCGCACGCCGCCGCCGCACCGGACAGCACTTAGTTCAAATAGAGTTCAAAACTCGGAAGGACCTATGCCAATACAGGACAAGTAAAAATCGGGAAATACAATTTGCTTACTTATTCCGGGTCACTGCTCCTGGTGGCTAACTCCTTTGGTTCGGATGGCGGTCTCTGGGTCGGTTTCAGGTCTTCGGGGTGGTCCTCAGGTCTGGAGCTGGAGCTCTTCGAGTTCAGGATCTGAACTGCCTGTTTTCGTCCAGGAACGGTGGTTTTATTTCCTCAATCCCCCCTTAACTGACTAGGAGTCTTGGTGGGATTATGCGCGCGGCACTCGTCAGAGTGGGGCAAACGGACGGTTCAGCTCGACTCGCGGATAATAATTGCTCTCGCCAATTAAGCTAATTAAATAAATAAATAGCGAAACCCTTACACAAAACATCATTACAGTATTTGTTATGTGTTTCCGTATTTTTATATTTTTGATCCTCTTTTACATAAAAAGGCTACAAAATATTTCATTTAAAATTACTTTTGTGTCGAATGACAATTTTGTGAAAATTTATACATTTGAATGATTTTTCTAGCAGCTGTACCTACAAATACACATTTGATTTTATTATTTCAATAGACAAAAATAACAACATATATAATTTATCGAGTAAGATATTTGCATTTCGTGGCAATTAAATCTATTATCCTGTAGATTTATACTTGAAGGACCAGCCTCTAATATTGACTATTGATCTTATTAATTATACTATCAGAAAAGTCAGAGTAAGCTTGCCCACAAATCTTATTATTTGTAGACTGTCCTGATACAGAGGGCATCATTTATTTATATATTTATTTATTTATTTATTTATTTACTCTTAAAATATCCAACGGGTGAAACCCACTTAAGGGTATAAGTTTTAGTACAAGAAAAAAGAATACATTAATGAAAAGAAGCACTAAAAATACATCCCAAAAATTAATATAAAAGTTACAAAAGAATAAAAAAGACCAATACACAAGAACAATACAAAATCTTAAGATCAAAAGTAATATATATAAAACTCAAAGTCAATAAAAACAACCAACAGAACAGTAAAAAACAATGAAAAAATACAGGGTGTTTTTGAATGGAGTAGCATAAATGATACCAGTGAATCTACATTTCAAAAGAACACCTTAGTAACGCCTTAGTAACGCCTTAGTAAAATGTTCACCCCTGAAG